ACGCTGCTGCCAGGCCCAGCTGAGCAGTGCTGAGCTGGGCCCCAGCGGGGGGGAGGGCAAGCAGCTTTTTGGTGGTAAGCGGCAAGCAGCAGGCAGCAAGCTCAGCTGGGAGCGTGGACCCCAAACGGCCACTTGCCGCCGCTTGCTCCCCTGCCGGGGCACAGCTGAGCGGCGCAGCGCTCGGCCAAACTGCCACGGAGGGAGAGGAAGGGAGGCAGGGTGCTGACGTACACGGCCAGGAGGTGTAGCCGTGTACATCAGCGTTACAGACCCACAGACAATGGGCAACTATATATATAATGTGAGAATAATTCAAATTCCCAAGGTATTATGGTAGTTGTGTTGCAGGTTGTCAAACAAGCATTAAACTAACATGTGCTTTTATCATTGGATCACAGTTAAGTAGATGAGCTTCTTAATAAGGGCATAATTGAACTAATCAAAAAGTTTAAAGAGTGAATTGTGTGGGCTATAATGCTTGGCTTAGGTCTAATTACTGTGATACTCATTGCCACATAATTTCAGTGTTAATCAGAATCTTTTTAATATATTTACAATCCTAGTCTTGCATCTCATCTGAAAAATGACACCATCTAGTACAGCGCTCCATAAAGATCATTTTGGGGAGCTGGTTCAGTAATAACTCAGCAGCAAATATGCCATCTCCTGCATCACCAACACCATGTCCTGCAGCACCTACCACAGGTGTTCCTTGAAGATCTCATACACCAGGATTATAGATATGCCTGGAATTGCTGAAAATGAATCAGGGTGAATCTGCAGATAGAACATGGATCATTCTACATAACTTTCTGACATGGAAACCTACAATTCCCACTGACAAGAGCTCACCTTCTGGAATGGTACCTGTGTCGGGCTCTGCAGGAGTTGGATCCTCTTGTAACAAAAGGACTCTGATATAGCATGGAGGATTTCTGTTATTCTGCCCAAATGTGATATACTCACTGCATGGTCATGGTTTCTATATTGTAAGAAGTTGAGGCATTTGATTCATTTGCTCTACCCCAAATTAAATTAATTTCGGCGAGAGTGTGTGGCTGGAAAGGGAAAAGTGTTTGGAAGCAGGGATTTGGCTAAGGAGGTAGACAGGAGGGTGGCCTAAGGGAAGGGGCAGGGCAGGGGTCACAACAAGAGTCTGTGGATTAGACAGTTGGAAACCCCACTGGGCAGGCATGTGGGAGCCCTGGCCATGTTGCTGGGCACCTACCAGCGCAGGTGCAGCACGGCCCAAATGTCAGGTGGGCCACATCCGTGTGGGCGTGGCTAGTGTGTGCATGGGAGCCTAGTGACACTCTGCCCTGGGGTCCGCAACTGTGGACTCAGCAGGCCTGTGCCTGATTCACACTTCTCTGAGTAACAAAAAAAAACCCCTGAATTACCGAATTAACAGTGAGTGCTTGGGTCTGTTGGTATCGAACCAGCGGGTGGATGAAAAGTGAGACATCTTGGTCCCTGGGCATCCTGCATTAACTGACTCCTACGGAATAACTAACCTTGTCCAGGAACCAGCCAGCAGAGCCACCCTTGTTATTATGGCCGATGGTCATTTTCCGTAATTTTCCCAAATTGGGAGCATCAAGGGTGAACTTGTCCTCTGCTCCCTTTTCAAAGTTGTCCTTGTCATTGTCCAATCTCCTCTCTCCTACGCAAAACAAAAGCAAATGAGGTGGGTAAAAAATTGATCATAGTATCAGGACATATTTATGCATTTAAAAAAAATCTATCTCCAGTAATGCTACCTTCTGACTAAATCAACCAGTCCTGGGCACTGCTTCTAGTCAGTGTGGGCAGTAGAAGACAGGGAACCTTATAGGCCAATGAGACAGCACCATTCCTTCAGCACACAAAAAAGTGGGAGAGCAGGAAGTGGGGTTTGCGGGCAGATCCCCACAAGCCAGGGCTGGAGGACTGAAGGCAGGAGAGCTGCAGAGGGAGTTAACTGCTGGCTTTCAAGTGGGAGAGCTGGAGCCCAGGGCTGGAGAGGGCAGAAGGCAAGGAAGCAGAGGATGGATTTACCAATGGACATCTCTGAGCTGAAGCCAGTGGGCAGAAGGGCTCCCAGAAGAGCAGTGGGAAGGGTTCCCACTGGAAAGAGGGGGGCTGTTCCTCACCAGACAGGGCTGAAAGTAGAGTGGGTGTCCTGGCAAAAGGACAGGAGAGATGGGATGAAGATCCCAGGTGTGGCTGGAGATGCAAGAGTATGGTACGGAGGGACTCACAGCAGAGAGGCTTAGGGGATTCCCAGGGGAAAGAACAGCATTTTAAGGACTACATATCCACTGGGTGTGAGAAGTAAACTATGTTTGGGATTCTTACTGGCATTATTTACACTATGTGTTGGTAATTAACTGACTGTAAGGAGAAGTACCAATTAAGCAGGTGACTCTCTATGAAAGGGAAACTGAGGCAGGCACATCTGCTATGCCAGAACTTGCTGTAGGAGGCTGCTGCAGGTGAGGTCGCCTTATAACATTTACTTACATCACTCAGAAGTTTTCAAACATACATGACTAAGTGGCTTTTATATTTTCTCCATTGCTACATTTCAAAGAGTTATGCTTTGAAAAGTCTATTCAACCATTTAAATTATTTTGAGGGTACAGACAAACTTAAGAATTCCACATTTTTAATACCTCAAAGCTCAGGGACATTTGGATCCTAGATTTTGCTGCGGAATACTATAGAGAGAGGAATTATTCCCAAATTTAGGATCTAATTTTGGATTTTGAACACTTCTGAACATAGAAGAGTTTGCTTTTATAGAACAGTGTTCATGTATTGAACAGAGATGACACCAGTCATGATGTGCAGTTATTACTATAAAAACCCATAGAATTTAATAGGGAATAAAATCCTTTCACCACATGTTTCTGAACCATTTCATAGAATATCATTCTCTATTTAATGCTCTATAGAAGAGGAAACTATAGAAAAGACTTCACTTTTTACTGAAGTCTTGAAGGCTTTTTTGTAAGGGTATGTGCTGGGGCTAAGTGTGGGCCCATCTCTAATTATTATTCTGATCTTATAGATAAAACATAATGTTTACTAAAATCAAGTCCATAGTGTCCTGTTTTGTTACAGCCTCTGTTTCATGAAATAAATGCAGCTTAGCAGTTGATTTTAATTTAATGCCGATACAAACAGTGACATGATCATGCTTTAAATGGACAGTGATTCAATCTTAGTCCACAAAGTCTGAAATCATATGCAAGGACAAAGCTCTTTTCTCAGCTTCATAAAAGGAATTGCTAACATGCTGCTCTCCCTTCATGAATTGGTATCATGCTGACATCGGATATTTTAGTGGATTATTTAGTGCCTTACACACACCCGGGTGTCTATACCAGGAATCTTTGCAGGAGATGATGCAGTGGTAGAAAAGCCTGAACCTTGTTCATATTCCAGCTGTTCTGCTCTTGCACCTGCTGAAAATTATGGGCCTGAAAAACCCTAAACTAGATAGGCCATTTGTGGTCCTTTCACAAAGCCAAATCATTTTGCATTTTCCAGATTGTGCGGCTTGTTGTTCAGATTTCAGGCTCGCCTTGGGCAGAGCAGGGAAAAGTATTTTAGGAAATGATTTGCATTTGAATACCTGTGTCTCCATTCTCGCCAAAGATATTAATGAAGACATCTGCATCTGTTCCACTGCCGCTAATGTCTCCAGTAAACACTCTGACCACGTACTTGTTAACTGCAAAGAGAGGGAGAAATGCCCATCAGATGAAGAATAAAAGACATGGATCAACATAAAATGTACTGATACATACAAGACCTGCCACTGTGGGTGCAACAGGCCTGGAGAGCATTTGGCCAATATGTGATGCTAGGAGCCACTGTTCATAATGGTTAGTACACAAAATGGTAGCTGTTGCAAGAGACCAAGTGACATACCGATAGCACTGAAGTCGGGGGAGTTATGCCATTATGGGGCTCAGAATTTCACAGCCTTTTCCTGGCGGTTTTAACACTGCCACTATAAGAAGAGCCAGAATGCCAACACATACAAGAACATCTCAATAAAGAAGAAAAAGCCAAAGCTTGGCCAAGGCAATTGAAACACTCCTCAAACCTTTACCAGAATTAATCCTACCTTGATACTGTCTGATACTGTCTCAAACCCAAGGGCTGCATCTAGACTGGCATGATTTTGCGCAAATACTTTTAACGGAAAAGTTTTTCCGTTAAAAGTATTTGCGCAAGAGAGCGTCTATACTGGCATGTGCCTTTGCGCAAAAGATTTGCTTTTGCACAAAAGCATCCGTGCCAGTGTAGACGCTCTCTTGCACAAGAAAGCTCCGATGGCCATTTTAGCCATTGGGCTTTCTTCCGCTAGAAATTAACGTTCCTGTCTACACTGGCCCTCTTGCGCAAGTATTCTTTGCAAGGAATCTGGCAGAAGGGGTGGAGCCAGGCCTCCCCGCCCCCCACCCCAGCAGCATATTTGCAAGGAGTACCCCACGTGGTGCCCCAGTGGCAATTTATCGAACCCCTGACTCCAGCCATCACCGCTGCCACAATAGCAGCAGCCGGGAGTCCTGGACCCCTTTGCATTTCTGGGCCCGGGGGCAGCTTCCCCCTTTGCACACACCCCATTGGCAGGCCTGCTAGTGCCTTAAGCAGTGGATCAGCTTCTCTGCCTCTATGGAAAGCGTACAAACCATTCCTGGAAGGTGTTTGCCATGGGCAGATCTCAGCGACCTTTGATGTCCACTTCTCAGAGCGCTTCTCATTCAGTTCTTTGGCTTTTTTACTAGAAGTCTGAGCAAGGGTCACAAGTGGTGCAAATTGTGATGCTGACATATGGCCATCACACAGTCCCAGGTCTACGGTAGCCTTGTTTTTCTCCAACATCAATGATACGTGACGCCCAACCACCTGCTCAGGTTTAGATTTGACCCCTCCAAATCTGAACTCCCCACTGCAGCTATCCTTGCAACATAGCAAGAGGGAACAACAACAGATCAAGAAGAAAGAACTCTAAACCGAAGAAGCACAAAGACTTGAAGAGATCTCATTCCATCACTCCCTTCAGTTAAAAAAATCCTGCTGCTTTCTAGGATATAAAAAAGCCATAAATAAATGAAAGTATCAAGCACAGTACCTTTGACATTGCAGTGCTAACCTACTATAGCATATGTGGTGGCACTAAGAAGCCCAAAAATTACTTATGTCAATAAGAAGTATGAATATTTCCATTTCCCATGCTCTCAAATCAAGGGATGCGATGGGATTATTCAGACATGACCAAGGTTAGTCCCACTGATATATGTGGGCAAATGCCCCCTGATTTCAATAGGAGGAAATTTAGGACAATGTTGAGCAATTTTAAAACCCCCACTCTACATTAGTCGACTGACTGTATTGTTGCAGTGCTCATCTTTCTTTATACTAGGTGGCAAGCTCTATATTTGAGACATGAGTGAATAACATACAGCTAATAATGCATTCAGTGATGGTTCTCTCTCCACAAAACACCCTACAATTACTTGTACATTTTCATTATTTTATGTTATTTGCCAAATATTTCCTGGTCTAGAGACTGCTCCTGGGTGGTTTGCTACAAGTCTTCAATACTCCTATTTTGAGGTGTGCTAAGGAGCTTTTGTTGAACATGTAGGAAATGCAACTGCAGAACTGCAAATTTGGCAAGAGGGTTGCATGGCAACTATAGTACCTGTCACAACTGCTTTTTTCAACAGACTAAAATCAAGTTGGCAGCTGAAGAGCCCCTGTCACAAATGCAGCCTCACAAAATAAAATCATACACCCAAAATAATAAATAACAAGACGGGGCAGAGCCTGACTCTCGGTAGGGAGGACTCCTGAAGACATTTGCCAGTACAGATAATGCAGCAGCAAGAGATGCAAACCCCAGAGAGTTCTCCTCTCTAATAGCCAAAGATAGAGCGAGGACTGTGTAAAGCTTTGATCTTGCCAGTGAACTGCTGTGCCCACATGTTATTCACAGCATTATTAGAATTTGAGTTCCCAATCTGAGGGAGGAGGATGCATGCTGTGACCCTAAGAGTGTCCCAGTGCCAGAGGCCAAGGGGCTCTGGTATCAGGTACAAGTTGAACCTCTTTAGCCTGGCCCCCTCTGGATCTGACTGGTGCCAAACCAGAGAATTTACTGAACCATGAGAGGTCAATATTGTCTAGCAGCATTGCAGACACTTCCACTGCTTACTGGGCTCTTAGAAGACATTTGGGGTAAATTAGAGCTAAATAACAGCCCAGAACACTGAGAGCCAGGACTGGTGGCTGTAAACAAACTTTATGGGAGCGCAAGAAACTTGGCCACATGGAGAAGTAGTCTGCCTAACTAAAAATGAAGCTGGACCACGGATGTTGCCGGACCAATGAGTGCTGATTTAGAGAAGCTAAGCTCCCCATTCCCTGGCAGGAAACCTGCTGTCAGAACCTCAGCTGGAGCAGAGCAGCAACCCTGAGGGCCCATCACAGGTAGGGCTGGCTCCCTGTTGTGGAGCTGCTAAAGAAATTGACATTCTTTTTAGGTTCGTGGCTGCTATTCAGTAAATAGCTGACAAATGTGTTTCAGACACATCCTACTTCAGCTTTTCTGGAACCTGGAGCTTTCAGTTATTTCCCCAGGTACCTGCATGTTCACAGTAACTACTGCACAGCCCTTGTAACTTGCAAGTGTACATCCTAAGCATGTATAACGCCAACCGTCCTCTTCTTTAGCTGTGGAGTCAGATATGCTGCACACTTACAGGCATTCTGGCTTCCACTGGAACACTTCACCCAGCAAAGTGGCACTCACATAGCAGCCCCCAGGAAGGTTGCATGGATGCTATCCCTGGAAAGTAATGGGGTGGCACTGACTGACATGGGTGTACTGAAGAAGCAGGAGGTGTGGTAGTTAAGTGTTTTATTGCCTGGGATGTTCCTAACACACTCATGTTCAGCTGTCAACAGCCAAGCAAACTGACTGGTAATTCCACCTGGCATTAGCTTGAGCTATCTAGCATTAAAGAGATCGGGGTTGTTTTTTTATGGAGCCGAAGGGTCGTGTGACTGTTGGCACCAGACTGGGGTTCAACTCAATTCCCAACTGTACCATGGCCCTTCTATAAAACACTCCTCTCTATAAAAAACTACATATCTATTACTCATCTCTCTTTGGGTCTCAGGGCATCTGTTTGCCATGTGTCAGATGAAGATAACGATCCCCCTTCTCCCCATCTTGTCTAGTTAAACTGTACACTTTGGGGCAAGAACTGTCCCTTACGATGGACTATATTCTTAGAGCCCAGTGCGGAGACAAAATTTGTGTCCCCATCCATAACCATATCTGCAAAAATGAGCTGCAAATAGCCACATCTACACCTGCAGATATCTGCAGATATAAAGCAGAGATCCACAAATTTGCAGGGCTCTATATATCTGCCGCTAAATGCAATGAAGCCCTGATCTTGGTTGGGGCTTTTCAGCCCCATGGAACAAGAAAGAAATACATATCACAGGTTTCATTTACTCCATAGCATCCCGGCTTGTTCTAAACTACTCTTACTTCCAGGCAGCCATTGCTATGGACAACCTATGGCTACATCCCAGGCTGTTCAGAAATTTAAAACCACTTCCTTATTTTCCTTTCAACTTAAAATCCACTTGCAATTGGGTGTTGACCAGCTTGATGCCCTTTAAGCTTTGCCACGCTATTCTGCTTAGCTGTCAGTTACCCATTGGATGTACGCTGTCTGGCTCCTGAAATTCCCTCAGAGGGAATTTCATCAGTACCGTTTTTTAAAAACAGAAAGTGCTGGGGGAGGGGGGGAGGGCTACAGTTTTGGCTAATCTTATTTCAGCCACTAGATGGCACCATCAAGCATAAATTGCCACACTCGTCTACTCTGATAAACAGGGAGGATCATGCTTCATTACTTAACACTATCCTCTCCCATGGAGTTCGGTGAACTTCTCTATGATAAATTTCAGACTAGCTTCCTTGTGCATGACCTGCAATGTGGCAGATTACCAGCAGGGCATCAAACAATCAAGCAATGGCACAGCCGTCGGATATGTCACACGCTGAGTAAAAACCAGAGACCGAACTCTGGGCAGCGCTGCGATTAACTAGCTAGATGAGTTCCAATCATTTAAATTCCACTTTACAAACACAGCTATGGGAGTTGTCTTTGAAAATGTATCCCCACATTGGTGAACAATGACTGCTACTCCACTGAGCGTCTGGGATCCATAAAGACGCAGTGAGGTATGCAAAAAAGAGCCAGTCTATTGCCTCTGATTTGCTGGCACTCTGGCTTTATTTCAGCCCTAGAAATTGGATCATAACTAATCTCAAAAGCAGAATGATTCAGAAGAAGGAAACATGGGCTTGAGGCCCAGGCACTAGCCTGTGACTCGGATGATGGGGGTTCAAGTCCTAGCTTTGTTGTAGAGTCTTTATGTGACCTTCAGAAAGTCACTTTCTCTCTGTGTCCCAGAGTCACAAAGGGATTTAGGCACTTCAGCACTGAAATGGCAACACCTTTCAGGCGCCGTGCCTAGATCATCACAGGAACACACAGCGATTCACAAAGCCTGAGCCAGGCACGTCGGCTCCCTCTACAATGAATGGATGGAGACAGACAGGCGCCTTAGCCTGAGATTGGGAAAAGCTAACGCATGCTACCTACACTAGCTAATGGAAGATGCCAGTGGGAGAGG